AAAAAAAAAAAAAAAAAGAAGAAAGAGAGAGAGCGGAAGAAAAGAATATTTTAATCTGTTATATTTATACATTAAACAACAATCTACATAATAGTAATTTAATATATTAAGTATGGAAATGCGGCTTACATTTTGTATTTAAAAAAAACAATATGTGACTCTGACAATATATTATGAATAGTAAAAGTTTACAATAATAGCTTATAAAAAAAAATTTTTTTTTAAATTATAACTAGGTTTTTAAAATACTAAAATTACTAAATTATTAAACTTTAACAAAACTTTTAATAATCTAACAAGCCACTAGAATAAAACTATAATAAAACTATAATAAACTTGGAATAAAACTATAAAACTATAATAAACTAATAATAAACTTTAATAAACTATAATAAACTATAATAAAAACTATAATAAACTATAATAACAATACCAACAATGTAATCCCAAATATAAACAAAGTGTGTTATTTAAAAAAAAAAAATGGCGTGTAATTTCGGCTATCAATTTAATACACGTTTTTATTACTATGATATCATAAAATTACCAAATTCGGTTTACAAAGTTTTGAAACTCCTTCTCTCTCAATAGTGTTTAAAATAAAACGGCTTTTTTTTTTTAAAATAACGCTTTACTTTGCCTAATCTTATTATAATTAGTTAAACTCGCGTTAATGATAATGTCTAATTTTGTAACGAACAAATAAATTTTCATAAACTTTTTTGGGGGAATATTCATTCAACTCTTTATTAGGTTTCGTTAATGGTCTTGATAATGTCACACAAATGATATTATTCATTGCACGTGAACATTTTTTCTCTTCTTTTCGACTAAACTTGTACGAGCTTTTGACATATTTCCAATTCACTGGATTCAATATTGCGAACGTTTATCCATTGTTCACGAATTAGGTTTTGTGTTAAATAAAAAAAAAATAGGTTTATATCTTTTTTTTTTCAATCCTTTTTTTGAAAAGAATGCGAAAGAAAAAAAACAATCGATCCACATTATCCCATTATTATGATTTCACCTCATACGTAATTGTACATAATTTATAGTATAAATAAATAAATAAATAAAAATTTTTATTGTTTTATTCTCCCTTACAAGTAAAATAATACTTATGCTAAACCCTACCCAATAATGATTGTTTAAATGCGCCACGGTTGAAATTTTTTTGGGGAGGAAAATTATGTACTTTACTGCACGTTCTCCTTTAATTTTTTCGTTAAAATATTGGATGAAAAATTTTCATATCAAATTTATTATCAACAATTAATAATATTTTTAATACAACACAACAGCCTCACTTAATTAATAACTTATTATTATTATTACACTTATTATCCAACCAAAGAAATTGAATATGAATAGATTAGGAAAAAATGAGGAAGAATAATGAAATGAATTATTGTATAACGTCATATTAAACATACGTAAGTATATGTTTGAAAATGTGAAATTAAATTGATGAACGGCCGAAAACGCCACATACTTTTTTTTTAAAAAAAAAAATTTTTGCATTATTTGATCAACGAAATTAAATTGATCGAATAAACCTACAAAAGGGAAAAAAAAAAAAAATTTTTTTTTTTTTTTTTTTTTTACATGTCACTTTACATAACTCTTTTGACAATGAGAGGCTCATGCAAGAGACAATTAAAAATTAAAGATTCTCTTTCAAACAACAATTTTTTTTTTTTCGGGTTTCGGCTAAAACCATTAAAACCCATTCGTTAAAGTTAAATATTTTAAGGAGTTTGTAAAATGGTTGTGAAACATTAACAGTTAACCCATAAATGCACTTTTTTTAATGAGGAGGTTGTTACACGAATGAAAAAAAAAGAACTTTTTGACAAAAAACTTAATTTCATTACGATAAAGATAAAATAAATAAAACACAACATCAAAACACACAGACATTATATCAAAATATTTAAGTTTAATCCTATTAAAATTATTAAATATTTTTTATTATTATAACACAAAAAAAAAAAAAANACTAAACCATATCCAAATAGTCGGACTCATTGACTATATCTCAAACCTATCCTTATTCAGGTTAGCTAGTATATAACACATTGTCAAATGTAAGACGAATATAGGAATGCATGATGTCATTTAATTGATCTGCTATGCACTGAACATTTTTGATCAAATCAAGGTATAAATTAGTTAATATTAAATAATTTATGTAATAAAAAATAAAAAAATTCATGTAATGATAGTAAAGTGGCACATGTTTGGACTATTATTGGAGAGATCGTTTGAGTGTCCTTTCGGGGATTGTATGACAATAAAAGGTTCCCCTTTAGTAGGTAGTTTATTAACTCTAGTAATATAGTCACTTGCCGAGTGGAAAATTTATTTTTATCGACCAGTGTGGGGTATTTACCAACCATTACACATATTCTTCACATAAGCCTTCTTCCTGGATGTATCCACTGGCTTGAGCATATTATTTTAGCGATGATAGTTTAGTAGTATTTGTTATCTTATAATATTCTGCTTAAATTCGCATCATGTTAGGTTCCTAACTGACACCCATTAATAAAAATAAAAATAAAAATTTATGTAGTGATCTAGATATATCCGAATTAAACGAATATCCCAATCCCGTAGCACCCAATAAAATAATGATAATTAGAAAGTGGTTAAAATCCATAATTATATGGTCGATCAATTTTGTCAGAAACTTCTAGATTATAATTTAGACTCATTTAAAATTGTAATACTTTATGTAAGTACTGTAAAATAATTCAAATAAAGATTTTATAAATTCATTTGTCACCATATATTACTTAAACTATTATATTCATTATAGTTCTCATAAAAGTTTCATTTTCTTCCAGTAAATTTTCATCTAAATTCTCATATTCTCATTTCAAGTTTTTTTCTAAATTCATTAAATAAATCTAAAAAAAAAAGTTGTGTTTCAAGTTTTTACACAAAAAAAAAAAAATACATCTTGCTTTTGTTCAAAGCTTAATTTCCTACTTTATTTAGTAAAATTCAAATTTCTATTACTTTTATTAATTTTAACGTCAAAAAATACAACTTCTAACGAAGATTGAAAGTTGAAAAGAATAAAAAAATCTTTTTTTGATAAATAATTATTTAATATTTATCTGTAACCTTTTTTTTTTACAAATAATAATAATTATTGTTTATTATGATCTTACCTACATATAAAGATAAGAATATGCATTATAAAAGATTAGAAATGTTTTGATAAATTTGGTTTAGAAAGATTTAGAAAAAGAAAAGAAATTATCATAAATGATAATCACAAAAAATTTCAATAGTAATATATTCTTTTTTGTGGTATCATCGCGCCTAATTTTGGGTAAAAAAAAAAATTCTCCGTGTTCTTTCCCATTTAAGGAATATAAATAAATCTATACTGCGGATATTAGGTTTGACACGGAAAATGTACAAATGTACATACATACACAACAAAGTACGTGGCTGGTTGTTTCGAGGTGTGGTTAAGGATTGACAATGTTCACCAGCAGCAATAATAACAAAGTAGCAGTAGATGGTCTAGAACATTGATCGATAGCGATTGACAATTTCCAAAAAGTACATCGGGCAAACCAAGTAATCTTTTTGAGCAATCTTTTTTAAGGAAAATGGAACAAAATA